GTAATGAAACAACAGCCTTTTATTTAATAGTCTTAAAGCTTTTGCAAAAGTCAAAGTTTCCATCACATCAAACTATCCTTGCCTATACAAATATCTGTTATATATATATATATATATATATATATTATCTCCTTTATACACCTGTCCTTGCTTCACAGTCATACTAAATCCCTTCCTGCTATCAATTAACTTCAAGTACCAATGACATCATCTAGTCCCATCTATCATAATGATCCACGAACCTCTTTTTCAAAATGAGTATACAAGTGCAGCTTTGCATTTTTCTGTCCTCTCAGTACCTTTAGTGTATCTTAGCTATTGATCCTAGTAACCTTTGCTAATGACTTAAGGATCATCTTCACAATCCGACTCTCCTCTTTATACAATCTTCTTGGCACAATCTTGTGGATGACTTTCATCCGCACCTAATCTACAAGGAGAACCTTTAGAGAAGAAGGTCGCCGAAGTAGATAACTCCGATGCCCGTGAAGAAAAGAACAAGTACTCAAAGCTCGAGAAAATCTACTTTTTTTGGAATTGAAACAATATAATGGAAATTCGAAAGTTAACTAGCCAGAAAGCAAGTAAATTAATCCATTTATTGTGATCAAACAAGATGAATACACAGATCTTTACATGTCTCGATCAGTGTTGTTAATGGCGCGCCTAGGCTCGAGGCGCAGGTCTTGCACCTGTTGTCATCATAGGCGCACTAATGTTTAGTAGGCGAGCGCCTTGGTTTCGCCTCGTCCTATTTGTCAGGCGCACCTCAATGTTTTTTTCTTCTTCAAATGATTATTCTATTTCTTAAGCCAAAAATGGTACTTTTGGCTACTTAATTACCAAATAAGAAAGCTGAAGCGAATGAGAGAAGGAACTTTTGTTCAAAAGAATAAACAAATAAGAAAGCCCAAGAGTCAAAGTGTCAACCGAACATAGAAAGAGTGAGATTGTGAGACCAATAACGAAGCCCTAATTGTAGAGACGAATGACGAAGCCATGTTAGTTCTTTCTTCTTCTACTCTCTCTTCTCATCTACTCTCTCTTCTCATCTTTGTTTACTTCTCTCTCTTAATGTAGTTCTCTTCCCTTTCCTCTTTTTTTTTTTCGGGCTCTATTTTTTCTCCTTTTTCTTCTTAACACTTTCTCTCTCTTCTCATCTACTTCTCTTGTCTCTGCGACTTTTTTTTTTTTTTTTTCCTTTTCTTTTCTTGTTAACAGTTTTTTTTTTTGGTTAATAGATTTATTTCTTTTTGTGCTCTGTTTTGCCTTTCAAAAAAAATAAAATATATGTTTTGCCTTTCAAGAAAACAAATTTGTGCTTTGATTTATGGTTCTTGAATGCTTATATGGTTGATGGAAAGACCTTTATTATATTTGATATTAATTTTTATAATATTGATACGACTTATGAGATATGAATGCTTTTATGGTAGTTTAAAATTTCAATTGTACGCCTCACTTCTCTCAGGCACGCGCCTCGCCGTGCGTCTCGTGCCTAGTGTCACGGGCTTAGAGTTTCAGTACCACTCTAGCTACTCCCATGCGGCACCAAGACGTTGCTTCTACTCTTGCAAGTGCTTGGTCAGCCTAACTCTCGCGAACACCTTAGCCAACACACTCCCCTCGTGCGCTTACTAGTGTTGTAGTGGCCCTCGCCTCTCTCCTCACTTGGCTTGCACACTCACACACACTAAGGCACTTAAGTTGGCAAGGAAATAACACTTCTATTACTTCAAAAAATGCTTTGTACAAGGCTAGCACTCAAAACTCTCTACAAGGCTCTCAAGACTCACTTTAGGACTTGTTGGCTACAAAATGAAGTCCTACTCCTATTTATACGCATCCCCATCCCTAATGGATGGCTAGGATGCATTCTAACCAACGGTGGAGATCGATTCTCTATAATCTTCTCCCACCTTCTTCACACTTCCATACTTATCTATTAGTATCTACAACATTCTAGAACTCTCCATACTACTCCACACAATTCTGGAGAACTTTAGAATATACTACACATATCTAGAATCTTCCACACAACTCTAGACAATTCCGGAAGACTCTAGAAACTCCACTCGCTATGCAGTTGCCATGCAGCATCCTCCTCAGCGTCTGCGTGTTGCCTGCGTGACACAACCTCTATAGGCGGGGCGTGACATTCTCCCCCACCCATTTCTGTGACGCCCTCGTCACGGTTTCTTCAGCTGACCTAGCCTCTCGCAGGTTATCAGCACTTGCGCATATGTCCTTGGCCCAAACGTACGCGCCCCCTTTGGGAGATGTGAGGTCCTCACGAGCTCCATCGTGTTGACTGCCACCTCTGGACTCTCTTTCCTGCCCACGAGCGACACCATGCATGCGGCCTTGCCTTCCTCGCCTCCAAGTATCATCAACGCACCAAGGCATGGTAGTGGCGCGGCATTGTTCCTGTCCATGAACTCCCAGCCCCAGCACCATGTCGTGGTCGTCCATCTCCGCAACCTGAAAGTCGGCCTTGCCCTTCCATCCTTGCATGTTAGCTGCACCTCCTTGCATACTCTACTCACGCGTGCCTCCTCGGAGTTGACGGCCTTGATCCAGCCCTCCATCTTGCGCATCTCCAAGCCAAGTCGTTGCGCCTCCTCCGGGGTAATGAAGTTGTGTGTGGCGCCCGTGTCCACCAACGCTTGCACGGCTTTGCCACCAACCTGCGCATCCACATAGCGCACCCCAGCTACCTTCTTTGCCTTGCCCTTCTTCTTGGTGTCATGCGCCATACTACTCAACATTTGCATAGCCCCCATGCACCTGTCTTCATTGCTACCCGTGTCGTCCATCTTACCCTTGCCCTTATCCTTCACAAAGGCACTCATGGTCTTCTTGTTGGGGCAGTGTCGCAATAGGTGCGGCCCTTCGCACAAGTAGCACTTCGGCGGCTCCCACTTGCCCTTGTTGCAGCGCTCCCCTTTGCCACTAGCCTTGGACCTCTCTCCATGGTCCTTGCTCTTGTCATGGCGTGGGTGTCTCTTCTCATCGCTGTGCTCATCATCACTAGACTTGGGCGAGCCCCCTTTCTTGAAGCGTCGGTCTCCCCCACCTTTGCCGTGGTCCCTCCTAGGAGACGTGGCCCTCTTGTCATCGCACCTAAAGTCTTCAAGGTGTTCCGCTAAAGCCATTGCGGGTGCTAAGTCTCTAGGCTCCCTCTTTCTCAGCTCTGTGGCTACCCAAGACTGCAACCCATCAATGAACAAGCACACGCGTTGCCGCTCCGGCATCTCTGAGATCTCCAGCATCAAGTTGGAGTACTCCTTCACATACTCCCTTATGCTGCCCTTCTGCTTCAGGCGCCTTAGGTTGATCATGGCGAGGTCCTCAACGCACTTAGGGTAGAACTGTCTCTTGAACTCCTTCCATGTGTCAACCGCTCTTGCGCCTCTACCGGTGAAGCGCTGCCTCCACCATAGAGCGGCAGTGTCCGTGAGGTACATAGTGCCTGTCTGCACCTTTTCCTCATTGTCCTCGATTTCCATACTCTCGAAGTACCGCTCCATGTGCCAAAAGAAGTTGTCAATCTGGCGCGCATTCCTTGCCCCATCATACTCCTTGGGCTCCGGCGCCTTCTTCTTCCTTGGCTTCACCACGACCTCGCGCGCTTGAGAGAACTCCTTCTTGCACTCGGCAATCTCCACGCGCAAGTCGTCTACCCAATCATGCAAGTCCCTTTCCTTCTCTTGCGCCTTGTTGGCGATGCCATCAATCAGCTCGTAGAGCTCCGCCATCCTTCTCTCGAGCCTGTTAAACTTGGTCTCCGTGTAGACCAAGTGTGTGGCAAGCTTCTCCTCCAAGCTCTGCTCCAAGACGTGGACTTGGTGGTCTCCTCCGCTAGCCATGTCTACTCCAACAAAGCTTCCTTGACGAACCTGCTCTAATACCAACTGTCACGGGCTTAGAGTTTCAGTACCACTCTAGCTGTGCGGCACCAAGACGTTACTTCTACTCTTGCAAGTGATTGGTCAGCCTAACTCTCGCGCACACCTTAGCCAACACACTCCCCTCGTGCGCTTACTAGTGTTGTAGTGGCCCTCGCCTCTCTCCTCACTTGGCTTGCACACTCACACACACTAAGACACTTAAGTTGGCAAGGAAATAACACTTCTATTACTTCAAAGAATGCTTTGTACAAGGCTAGCACTCAAACTCTCTACAAGGCTCTAAAGACTCACTCTAGGACTTGTTGGCTACAAAATGAAGTCCTACTCCTATTTATACGCATCCCCATCCCTAATGGATGGCTAGGATGCATTCTAACCAACGGTGGAGATCGATTCTCTATAATCTTCTCCCATCTTCTTCACACTTCCATACTTATCTATTAGTATCTACAACATTCTAGAACTCTCCATACTACTCCACACAATTCAGAATATACTACACATATTTAGAATCTTCCACACAACTCTAGACAATTCCGGAAGACTCTAGAAACTCCACTCGCTATGTAGTTGCCATGCAACATCCTCCTCAGCGTCTGCGTGTCGCCTGCGTGGCACAACCTCTATAGGCGGGGCTTGACACTAGGCTCCAAAGGACCTCTAGTGCCTTGAGCCTTTAATCATACTGGCCTCGGTTTCCTACCTTGAAAGAATGGGAATGGAATCATTCCACTATTCTAAACATTATAAAAGCTCAGGCAGTCGGTATTTTGTACCACTGCTCAGGAATAATTTCTTCTTATTTTTCCTGTTTTTATCCTTTTTGAGAAACTTGAATTCTGTGTTATTGCATAGGATAACCCAACTTTTAATGTGTTTAATGTAAATTCTTTCAATCAAAAACATTTTTGAAATAGTACTTATTTAGTCTGACAGCTTTCTGATAACAGTTAATCCAACAAAAAGTAATCATTGTAAAACCTGCCATGTAATTTTTGTGCTTTTGATTGATCGGCTTATAAAAATTGCCTTTATATATTGAAATTTATCTTTTATGCCTTTTCAAATTGTGAGCTTTTGTATGCGCAGGCTACCGTTTTGGGGAAATACTTGATGGTCGGTATGAAGTTATTGCTGCTCATGGGAAAGGAGTCTATTCGACAGTAGTCCGCTCAAAGGATCTTAAGGCTGGAGCTGGTCATCCAGAAGAAGTGGCAATAAAAATCATACGTAATAATGAAACAATGTAGGTAACTATATGGTTCTCTTTCTTTGCCCCCCACTCTTAACTGGTTCTCTTTCTTTGTTTCTTCAGATGAAGTTCTTTTGTCCTTAAAATAGCATGTATTAAATCTAATTTTTCTAAAAACAACTCTCTCCCTCTATCTCTCTCAATTTTATTTATTTATTTTTTTTGGGTTTCATGTGAGATAGGCATAAGGCTGGATTGGTAGAGCTGGTCATATTGAAGAAGTTGGTCGGTGCAGACCCAGAGAACAGGCGCCATTGTGTTCGTTTCCTTTCAAGTTTTAAGTACCGGAATCATCTTTGTTTAGTTTTTGAATCACTTCAAATGAATCTGCGAGAGGTTTTAAAGAAGTTTGGCCGCAATATTGGACTGAAACTAACTGCTGTTAGAGCATATGCAAAGCAACTATTTATTGCGCTTAAGCATCTCCGAAATTGTGGCGTGCTTCATTGTGATATAAAGCCAGATAACATGCTGGTAAATTTTGACTGTTATTCTATGATCAACTTTCTTCTTCTTTTCTTTCTTTCTTTCCCTTACTTTCCCTCTCATTTTCCGGGACGAGTAAAAATGCTCATTCTATGCGTGTTTTAAATAAGACAATTAGAAAAGGATTTTAATTATTCAAAGTTAAAAATAGAAAAAGTAAATTGAAATTAATTTCTTACAACAAAGCATGGTATTAGAACAAAATCCACAACATATAAATACCCATAAAAATCTGTATATGCGTGTGTGTGTGTGATTTTAGAGAAGAGAATTTGTATAGAGTAAATATGTGATTATTTATCATAAAACATGTTCATAAAAATAAGAATGTGGATGAGCATACTTAGTAAAATAAAAGGTGTATCATAAATATGTGATTTATTATTACTTATCAAAAAAAAAATTAGTATATATTAAATTCATTAAAAATGTTCATAAAAAATGAAAATACTATTGACATTTATATAGTAGTATCAGTAAGTATAGACATCTCACCATCCATTCATTCTACTCAGGTAAATGAAGTGAAAAATGTGCTGAAGCTTTGTGATTTTGGCAACGCCATGTTTGCTGGTAAAAATGAAATTACACCATATCTTGTGAGCCGCTTTTATCGCGCCCCTGAGATAAGTAAGCATGAACTTCAAGCTACTCTCTTGGTATTCTATCTAATGATGGAAAAGAGCTATTTTATTAGTTATTTGATATATTTCGGTTCTTGATGTTCAGAGAGTGGTGTATTTTGCTGGAGCTGAACCATTTAGTAATTTTTAATCCTTTCCTATTTGCAGTTTTGGGCTTGACATATGATCATCCCATGGATATTTGGTCAGTTGGTTGCTGTTTGTTTGAGCTTTATACTGGGAAAGTTCTTTTTCCAGGTTCTACCAACAATGACATGCTTCGTCTTCATATGGAACTAAAAGGTCCATTTCCTAAAAAGATGCTTCGAAAGGTTAGAGTTGGATTTACATATGCAGAGCTGTAGACCAATTTTCTTCTTCTAAAGCTTGAACTTGAATTAATACTATTGTTCATCTTAGTGGGGATTCTCGGCAGGGTAACTAAAGTCTTTTTGGCTTCAGTTCCTAATTTCCATGATTTTGTATTTATAGTGGAATGAAACTGATTTTACTTCCTGCTGAATCCCCCAGGGAGCTTTTACAGATCATCATTTTGACCAGGATTTGAATTTTCTTTCCACAGAGGAGGATCCTGTTACAAAGAAGGTAAACATTAATTGTGAATTAATATTAACTTAAATAATTATATCTAAATGTAACTCTAGTTGTTTTAGATGGGAGTTCATGTTCCTCTTTTATTTTTACATTGTACTATTAATTTTGTCATTACAGACTATGAAGAGGTTGATTCTCAATATCAAGCCAAAAGATATTGGGACAGTAGTTAGGAGCTCTCCTGGCGAGGATCCGAAGATGTTAGCCAATTTCAAAGACCTTCTAGAAAAAGTTTTTGTGTTGGATCCAGAAAAGAGGATAACAGTATTGCAAGCATTGCATCATCCCTTCATCACTGGCAAGTGATCAATGATGCTGATTTCTGACTCCAGAAAAGCTGCTGCACTACATATTTGTACATTATGATCTAAATTTATATTCTGATCTCTAATCATTGGGAATTTATCTGTCTTTATCTTCTCTGTGCTGGCTTGAGAGCTTTGGACACAGTTTTGGGCAATGGTAGAAGTTGCAAGAGAGGATGTTTGTTTTGCAGACTTCTTACTTGGCAGTTCTTTCGGTGGAATGTGTTCTGTTTCTATTGTAAGACAACTTGCCAAAGGCGTTTTCTTCTCTTGTACTCATTCTTGGTGGTGACTACTATGAATTTTTTTTACATATAATTTTCATTTTCTGTCCTCAAACTAAATTTGTAATTTAGGCTTGGGTTCATGCAACTGTATCTTTAGGGCTTTCTGTGCACCAGAAAAATTAATAAAGAGAGCAATATAATTATTTATGTGTTGTTCAAAACAATTATATTGTTTTGAGACTTCTTTTTCTACAGTAGCAGGGGATTTCTCTTTTCCCTTTTTTTGTTTTTTCCTTCCTCTTCCCTCTGTTTTGTCCCATATAGTTAGTTGTTTGCTGCGCTGTAAAAAATTGTTTCTTGTTTATGAGATATTAAATTTCTATTCTTTCTCAGGCATTGTAATACTATAGACTACATTTCTTTTGCATAGTCTTTTTAATCTTCTTGACTGTATTTTATTTATTTTTTTCCCTTGAAGTGCTTGGGTCCTGGAGATTCTAATTCTATTTTTCATTCAGGATATCTATCAGTCATATGAGGCAACCGTTCAGTGCTCTAGATGCATAAAAGGCACTCTGGAGAAGGTACCTTGGTTTGTTTATTAGGAGCTTATTGTCACCTTTGAAATTAAATAGCATGATCTCTATTTCTTAAGTTTTTTCTCCTCCTCTAAGCTTTCTTACTGGTTATGATTGGAAATTTATATCGGTTAGTTAAAGTGGCATTCTTGTTTGGGATGAATATTTTTCTGCATTACACTTCAGTTTGTGTCTGCATGTTTGTATAACACATGTTGAGTTAGTGCTCCATCATTGGTTCTTCATAGTATTTTAAAAGTATGAAAAAGGAAAAGCTGGACTGTGCATGCTGTTTCTTTTGCTTAAGTATTAGTACTACTGTATGTATGGTAATTTATGTGTGTGTATAACACATGTTGAATTAGTGCTCCACCGTTGGTACTACATAGTATTTTAGAAGTATGAAAAAGGAAAAGCTAGCCTGTGTATGCATATTCTTTTGCTCTAGTGTTAGTACTATTGTCTTCTCAAAAAAAAAAAAAAAAAAAGTGTTAGTACTATTGTATGTATGGTATTTTACTGTGTGTATGGCCTTTTATTGTGTGTATGGTACTTTTAACCATGTTAATAGGCATGAATGTTGGACATATCAGGATCTACGTAGTGACATTATGTCTAAATATATAAATGTATGTATATATTTATTCCTTTGTGGTTAGGTTGCTGCTTCAGCAAGAGAACTGTCTGAGTGCTTATTAAGTTGTTTGTTAGTGTGTCTTCAAAATTATACATATTCTAATGAATTTGCATTACATCTGATCCATGGTTTGGTCATTCTGGAGGAATTTGCAGTGGAGGTGTATGGCTGCAGCTTTGAAGGCGAAATTATTTTCAGTGAGTAATCCTGTTTGATCATCCTATTATTTATCTCGCAGAGCTAGTGCATGTCATTTAACAGAGCAACTCAATGATATGATTCTACTTTTTTTTAGGGTACAACTCCCTGTGCTTATGCGATTCTGGTAAGTATCCATAATTTTCATTTATTGTCCTTTATGGTATTATTTATCAAAAAATATTGCCCTTTATGGTATCATTTAGGTTCCTGGTGTTTCTTTTAGTTTTCAAGTAATCTTTTATCTTTTGCAATTTTACTCCTTTCTAGAGATTCTTGCAAGAATCATTGATGGCGTGCTTTTGGGTTATGAAGGTTCTTATGCTTGTGGTTTGCTGTATCTTTTACTTTTGAGAAAAGTGATGAAAATAAAGAATGGTGGTAAAATTACTTTAGGAAGCTGATAAATAAAATTATTACAAAATATTTTATTTACTCTAAAGCTTAGGGTGATTAAAGAATTTGTATATATATATTTTGCAAGTACAGGGTTGTGCGAGGTAAAAAAATGCATTGAGCATGATGAAAACATGTTAGGCTTTATGACTAGATTCATGTTTAGGCTTGGAAGTGTTTAGGGGTGATAATTGCTTGTCTTGTCTAACAAAATTATTCAACAAGACAATGATGAATAAGAAAATCTTTGGTGAGTGGTATAGAACTATTGTAGTACCTATATATTAAAATAAATTGGATATTTTAAATTGTACAAATTTTCGTTGCATCAAGTTATGATACTATGAAAGTTTGGAGAGAGTTATTGTATGCCTAAGATGGGGAATCACATCGTCGGAGTGTAAGGTTTCTTTTTGGGATAACTGTGGAATGTTGAGGCGCAATTATGTCATTTTCTTTATAAAAATTTTCCATTTACCCAGGGAAAAAAAATTATGTCATTTTCTTTTCCTACAAGGGTGCGAAGTGGGATACTAGCAGACTATTGTTTTTGAGATTTGGACATATCTTCCCAAGAGCTTGGTTTTAGAGAAGAAAGGAATTACAAATAGATATGTTGATGTGCTAGCAATTGTATCTGAAAACATTTGTGATCACAATAGGAACAACTACTGAAGTAACAAAGTGAATTTGCAATTATTGTACGGCTTACATCAAGGATCGACATTCTTTTTACCCTATTGTTGAACTTATAGAGAACATTTAGGATGACATTCCATGGTGTATGTTATTTGCATATAACATAACATACACCAAACTATCTTAGTTGTTTTTTTGTATTCATCTTCCAATTAGTTTTGCTTCCACGATGGGTGTCTTGTTTTGGTCACTCTTGTTGGCAAGGGATGGGATGCCACTTAACAGGAGGACTGGTGAATTAGTAACCAGAATTAGGTTTGGGGACAAGGTTGGAAACTTGGAATTCAATTCCCAACTTTTTTGCTTATTGTACTTAATTGTTTTAATCATCATTTTCCTTTATTCCATGCATCTTTCTTGTTTCTTGTAGTCATAAATGCCAATTGTGTTAATTATTTTGAAATTTAATTGTGCTTGGGCTTCCATGCTTACTATCCTTCTTTCTATCCTGACCCAGGACCATTGTGATGTGTGATCCACCATAAATTGTAATATAGAACACGATTCTGAAGTAATACTTGTTAGTCTTTCTACAATTGCTGCTAAAGAAGTAATATAATTATAATAGCTAAAGCGCGTTGCTATTTAGCATTAACAATGGATTTGTTAATATTTTAGTAGTGTTTGGATCTGTGTTACCCGGACTCGTCGCCACCGGTCATAGTGTCCGTGTCGACACGACACAGGATATGGGTCAGACTCTTCGTTTCTCCACCAGACACAGCTGATGATTAAAACACACAAAAAGATGTGTGGGTTGATGCTTGTGAAGGATTATAAAATTTTTCCATGGTTTGTTTGTTAAAACGGCAGCCAATGACGCTGGTAGGAAGCTTTCTAGGTCAAAAATGGTGGACTGGATTGAACCAGCAGCGTCGTTGCAAAGAAAGGTTGGAGATGATGGTGTTACACGCGCTTTATTTCCGCAATTTTACGCCTGATGAAGTGTGATTTCACGCAATTTATTAATGGCTTGTATTTAATGGCCCAGTTGATGCCACCTGTCTTGGAATGTTAAGGGATCAAAATGTTTAATGCTTTACAGCTGTATTGTACCTTCACCTTTAGTAATAGTATATATCTTACCTAATATATATCTTACCATACAGAGCAAATGAGACAAAAATACAGTAAAAATGGTTTCGTTCTTCCTCATTGACTTGGCAAATGAGACAAATTTACAATAATAAAATAAAATTTCCTCTCAAAACTATAGCAAACATATTTATTTATTTTATTAAAAAATGATGAATCATCCATAAAAACACATACAATTCTTTTTTTCTTAGCTGTGTCCAAGTACCCGTGTCTAAATATTGGACACTTTTTAGCCGAGTCCCCGTGTCCTTTAAATTGATAAATTGACGAATCCGACTCCTAGACACATACCCGCGTCCAACGCTCGTACCTGAGTCCGGGTAACATAGGTTTGGATACGTATTGCAATGCTCTCGAAGAGAGCAATCTAAGATCAGAATTTCAATACTCCATGGAGTCGTAACATATCAACCTTGTTGTAATAGACTCAGCCAGACATGATGCCAATTAGCACGGCTCTATTTCATGCTTGAATTTTCCATTACAAGTCTTACGACATTGTATTGGCCAGTATGGGTCATACTTGTACATAATGACCGATAGGGCTCCTTATTGTCTGGTACGACACTGTAATGACATTTTGGCGTTTGATGCATGATCTATAAGATAGATTTTTCCCCCCTTCTTTTGTAATGAGGAAGTATTCTAACCAGATGTCTTTCGGACTCGTGGTTGCAATGGGAACTCTGGATATTTTCAATAACTCACACTAATCATGAATTTCGCTTAAACCCCTTGAACTTGAGACCTCAAGGTAGTAACCGTGAGATCCTCAAAGAGATAGCGATTTGCATTGTATAAACATATTATATATATATATATTTTTGATTGTTATAAATATAGATGTTGTAATTCTTAAATTTCTCATGGCATAGAGGAACCACAGCAATCCGTCCTGAGCTTGGTGGTTAAACTCTACTACAGTGACGATAGTATAGGGGAGATCGTGCGGAAAATAGGTCGATGCTAGGATGATAAAAAGCTTAACTCCTCTCATTCTTATTACTTTTTTAATGTGAAAAAGAAAAAAAATGAAAATGAAAAAGAAAAAGGTTGTCTTATTCAAAATCCAAGGACTTTCATTGAATGTGGTTTTGTACAGAATTCTATATGTTTCTTATGAGATCGAGTATGGAATTATGTTTACTTACTTTAAATTGAGTATTTGTTTCCCACCTTTCCCAGCTATGTTTGGAATCCCTATATTTTACATATCCATACGATTGAGTCAAGTTTCCAAAATAAGTCTCATTTGGGGTTCTTCAGTCTAGTATCTAATGGTCAAGAACCAAAGAATTTTGGAGAAGCTAATTACAGTCTAGTGTGGGAAAAAGCTATGAAAGAGGACTTTCCATCGAATGTGGCTTTCCACAGAATTCTATATGAATCTATGAGATAGAGTATGGAATTCGGTTTACTCACTTTAGATTGAGTATCCGTTTCCCTCCTTTTCTTGCTAGGATTGGAAATCTTGTATTTTACATATTCATACGATTGAGTTCTTGGGTTTTCGAAATAAGTCTCATTTGGCCTTCTTGTGTGTTGTATCTAATGGTCAAGAACCAAAGAATTTTCGAGAAGCTATTTATAGTCTAGTGTGGAAAAAAGCTATGAAAGAGCACTTTCATTGAAGGTGGCTTTCCATAGAATTCTATATGTATCCATGAGATCGAGTTTGGAATTCGGTTTACTCAATTTAGATTGAGTATCCGTTTCGGTCCTTTTCCTGCTAGGATTGGAAATCTTATATTTTACATATCCATACGATTGAGTCCCTGGGTTTTCGAAATAAGTCTCATTTGGCCTTCTTGAGTGTAGTATCTAATGGTCAAGAACCAAAGAATTTTCTAGAAGCTAATTACAGTGTAGTGTGGAAAAAAGTTATGAAAGAGGAGTTACATTTGTGTGGGACATTGTTAAAGAATTATGATTTTTTTTTTTTTTTTTTTTTTTTTCTAGGCTTCAATCATTTGATGTAATTTTTATAAATTTCATATTTCTTTTGTATTATAATATAATTTGAATAGTGGTGGATTTCATTAAGTTATTCTATTGTATGGTATTAGTTATGTGAAGTATAAATGTATAATTTATAACTATTATCTTTTTTTTTTTTTAGGTTGGGTTCTAGGGAGAAATTGTAAATCCATGGATGAGCTTTAAGAGTGTTTGGATTTGTTGAGGGTATAGAGGCCCTATCTGGCCTTGTGTAGTTTGACGAGATGCGTTCCCCTTTTGAATACTTTTTATGTAATTATTACTTCTATATATATAAAAAAATTATCAGTTTTTACTGGAGTATTACTAACTATAGTTACTAATTATTATAATTTACTAACTTAAATTGCAATATAACATAGTTCGTGTTATAAATATATTACTAACTACAAATTATGACTTACAATTATAGCAAATCTATAATGCATATACAAATAGAGTAAATTGTCATTGATCTATCGATTTGTAATTTCCTAAAAGAATTTAATTAAGAATTTTGGAGTTGTAGAAATTGAAAATTTGTCAAAGTGGAGAGTTTAGGTTAGTTGTAATGCTGGTACATGATGATATTGGTTGGAGTTTTGGTTTGGAAATTGATGGAGACATAAGTAATGTTACTTGGAATTTAGTGTGAGAACAGTTAGGGGTGGTATCACCAAGGTTCTAAGAACTCGGTTATGGTGTTGTAGTCTCGGGCTGTAACGGGGGTAACGATTATTTGCCATTGGTCGTGGAATTTTTTCAATAAGAAACATGATCGAAACAAACCAATACGCAAGTTTTAAATCTAGAATTAATAAAACCATGTTTTTAGTGGGTTTTAATGAATTTTGTTGAATATTCAATGGTGATTTATATGAGTGATACTTACAAAAAATTATTTTTTGAGTAATGACATCATCTAGTAATTAAATCTTAATGTGCTGTCTGTTCAAT